ATAGCAATGGCAAGGGATCAAGAAAACAATCAATGCATGTGCACGTCAGTGGAATATGCCTTTGATACAAAGTTGTAAAAGATAAGCATCCTTATATAGTATATAGTATAAGGGGAGACTTTCTTTCATTATTACAAGGTATGATCATCAGGGTGCAGATGTAAAAAAGACTGGACTCATCTTCGAGGCAGGCACTGCTTCCATTACCACTGTCACTTGTGACCACCTGCACATGTGCATCTGTAATGTACACTGGATTTCCTCCAACTCAAGTTTGAGAGTTGCCATTTTGACACAGTGAAGGCTTTTCAGTGCACTGTGTGTAGGCGCACAGCAACAAGACACGCACCACAGTTCAAGTTATGTTCATCCTCAGTTGCCTTAGGATGTTAAAGTTGAACTGATTCTAAACTTGACCCTCGAAATGAACTCATGGTGCACAAAGTCTTGTTGACACTGAAGATCAGTGTGCTTCTTCTGAGTTTGGATGCTACAGACTTTTCCACTGAATTCTTCCCTTTCATTTTTAAATCCTAACTGGAAACCAAGCACTTGTCACCAGTGAAATCTGGGTCAGTTTAACACAGAAACTGTGTTCAAATTTGAGCTCACAGTGATCACAGACATACACATGTAGGTGACCAGAATACACCTCTAGGGAGCAATCTGAAAATAACAGCAATGCTCAAATGTTCTTCTTCTTTTCCTTATATTTCAAATTGCTGGCATGTCCCAGTCTTTGAAGTAACTTCCGCTTAATCATGCTGTTGTTCATACAGCTGCCTTTTGGCTGATCACAACCAAATTTCTACTCAAAGCTGTGCAAAACCACAAGTAACGATTAAACTCTAAAGATGTCATCAAACTCTTGGAATTGTATACCTGAGTCTGTGGTTCCCGGTATTTATGACATGGCTTTTGTGTCACAAAACAAGGAACTATGCAGTTCAAATGAGGTTATCTGAAGACACTACAGTATAATTACTGTCACTGATGAGAAAATGTATTAAACGCTCACACTTCGACTGAACCAACGTGTGTGTCTGCTGAATGAGGTGAGCGCAGACGTGTAGACACATAAAAAGCTAGAAGAAGATGATGAAACAGTTGAGATGAAACAGTTTCTATAAAGAAACAGTTAAAAAGTCAGCAGATGAGTCATTTTCAGTCTACTTCTTAAAATGAAAACAACGGAATTTGAATGAAAACAATGGAATTTGAATGAAAAGAACAGAATTTGATCAAAAACAAAAGAATTTAAATGAAAACGACGTAATTAGAATGTATAGAACAGAGTTTGAATGAAAGCAACAGAATTCTAAAACAAACAATAGAATTGGAATAAGAGTAGAATTTGAATGAAAACGACGGAATTTGAATGAAAACGACGGAATTTGAATGAAAACGACGGAATTTGAATGAAAACGACATGAAAACGACGGAATTTGAATGAAAACGAATGAAAACGACAGAATTTGAATGAAAACGACAGAATTTGAATGAAAACGACAGAATTTGAATGAAAACGACAGAATTTGAATGAAAACGACATGAAAACGACAGAATTTGAATGAAAACGACAGAATTGAATGAAAAACATGAAACGAACAATTTGAATGAAAACGACAGAATTTGAATGAAAAAATAAAACGACAGAATTTGAATGAAAACGACATGAATTTGAATGAAAACGACAGAATTTGAATGAAAACGACAATTTGAATGAAAACGACAGAATTTGAATGAAAACGACATGAAAACACAGAATTGAATGAAAACGACAGAATTTGAATGAAAACGAATTAGAAGAACGACGGAATTTGAATGAAAACAGAATTTGAATGAAAACAAATTAGAATGAACGACAGAATTTGAATGAAAACGACAGAATTTGAATGAAAACGACATGAACTACAGAATTTGAATGAAAAGACAGAATTTGAATGAAAACGACGGAATTTAAATGAAAACGACGGAATTTGAATGAAAACATAAAGAATTAAAATGAAAACGACAGAATTTGAATGAAAACGACAGAATTTGAATGAAAACGACATGAAAACAACGGAATTTGAATGAAAACGACAGAATTTGAATGAAAACGACAGAATTTGAATGAAAACGACATGAAAACGACAGAATTTGAATGAAAACGACAGAATTTGAATGAAAATGACGGAATTTGAATGAAAATGACGGAATTTGAATGAAAACGACGGAATTTGAATGAAAACGACATGAAAACAACAGAATTTGAATGAAAACGACGGAATTTGAATGAAAACGACGGAATTTGAATGAAAACAACAGCATCTGAATGAAAACAACAGCATCTGAATGAAAACAACGGAATTTCAATGAAATGAATAGAATTTGAATGAAAACAATGGAAGTTTAAAACAAACAGAATTAGAATGAAAACAACGGAATTAAAATTAATTGGAAAGATGTTTTTATGAGAGACTATTTTACACACAACTTTTAGTTTGCAAGTTGAGACGGTTACGGTCCATTTTATGAGAAGGTAGACAGACCATTTTATAGACGGTATAAATTTGGCCAGCAGTAATTAAATAATTAAAACTTGCTTTGACAGTCATAAATAGAAAAGTTTATGTTGTGCTGGCATGTTTAGGGTTTGGTGTCCATCTGCACCCATCTGTGGAACCAAGAGCTGAGAAGCAAGGCTCTTAAAGCTACAGAAACAACAGTCTGAAAGCTAAAGAGAATTTTTATTCCCAACAGTGCTGTTGTTAAAAGTCAGAGAAACGGCAATAGTGACATAATTAGACAGAATTAGGGTCAAAAGGACCTCTTTTGCTAGAGTGCAGCAGTCTGTGCAATAGTTCCTCCTTCTCCTGTTAGCTGATGAAATTCTGAGTGTGCAGCTCTGCCTGACTAAGATGCTGTCAGAACGAAAGATGCAGCAATTACTCTATAGCATAGCCAGTATGTTGATGCATTGGTGCGTGCATCCGGCCTTGCACAGTGGGAGAAAGTGAAAGAGCCTGACCCTCATTATATCTCTGAGACGCCCTTGGGTGAGGCATTTCACCCCCAACTGTACCAGTGGGGCTGTAGTGTGCAGCTTCCAAGTTTGAATCTGGAATTTGGTAGCTGTGTGAATATGGAGGAAAGCATTTACTAAAAAGATTATTCATCCCCAGTGTTTCTTCTATACTTGGTTCTGTGCAAAGGTCTTGAGCCACCCATAATTTCTTTATATATTTTGCCAGGGGAATAGGTGCAGCGATTTACTGCAACATCCGCAAACATACATGGAAATACAGGGTATAAGGCAAAAACAGAGTTTGTACATTTCTGATATTTGCTACGATCGCCTCTGCTGTTCAACACAGCCTGAACCTGAAGCTTTCTTGTGGTTTCTTTAAGTGGACTTCATGAATACATCTCTTAAAAGACAGTCAAAATGTATTTTCTCTTTGGATGTTGCTTGGCTTTTGTTCCATTCTGTGTCAAGATGATCCTATACTGTTGAGGTCCTGACTCTGGGGAGGCCAATCCAAGGGTTTTTTTATCTATCCAGGTATGCTTTTACTGCATCACAAGAACATCTCGCTTCTGGGCATCAAAATATAAACGATCGAAGGGGATGTTCAAGACTTTTGCACAGCGCTGTATGTGGCCAGTATGTTAAATGTAATAACTTCTTTCATGTCCCTGATGGCATCCATTGAGGAAATAGCAATCCAAGGACTTTGAATATTAAAATATAGACAGTAAGTATATATAGATCTCTTCAAAGCTCTCTTTATACAACACCCCACCAAAAAATGGCAATCAATACATATAAAAAATGAAAGCAGGAAGCCTGAAAATAACACCACCTCAGGTTACAAAGATAGCAACGACCACAAAAATAAAGTGAAAACTTAATCGAATCAAACAGACAGCTACTGCCAGAATAGAACTGTTTGTCAATATAGCCAAATGCAGAGCTGTGTCAAGTTAAATTTATAAAGCAGCCAAGAACTTGGAATAAGCTCAAGATTCTAGCGATACCACAAGTCTTGTTGAAATTTCTTTTTTCCTTTTACGGCTTTCTCATTCCGAGAGAGGCGATTTATCCTGAGTTTTTGTACTCTGCAGAGGCAAAGACTCGGCCAGAGGTCAAACCAGTAAGACAGATAAAAACAAGAGATTGTCTGGAGGCCCATTAAAAGAAAATTGTCGTAGAGGGACAGAGACATTCACGTCCTGCCTCCGTGGTAGCAAATGGAGCAATGTAAGGGCTGGTTAGAGGAAACTGTATATGGATCATATGCCTGTGGATCGGGACTATCATATACAATACCTTTTAGTCAATTCACAGTTCCAAATCTGCTATTCATATTTTCCATCATCCTCATCTTGGATACTAAAGTCAGTAAAAGAGAGGAAAACAGCTGCCACTTGTTTTGTTTGCTTAAAGATATTTCCTCAGTTCTCTTTTTCCTTGTGCATATTCCTTGCTCTTTGTCACCGCTTTGCTCAGCCACAGGATGAACGTGCAGTGACGAAGCCATATGGGGAATGTGGTTAGACTAAATTCTTGTGTTAGCACACAGCTATTGTTGTCGAGAATTTAAAAAAAAAGCCTTCCTGGAAATCACAGCAAGGGGTTGTCTCCGTGTCTGCACAGTTCAATGAAAAATATATACATATAAAATCTCCTTCTCCTAGATGCATTGCATCATTTAAATCCTTGCATGATTTTTTTTTTATGAGCAAAGTCACAGCTTTTGAAAATGGTTTGACATCTTTTGTGACACACTAGTCATTTATGCTCTGCTGCACCTGTCTTGTAAAATGGCATCAGGGCATCTGAGCCTCTTCATTAATTCATATAACCTCATCACACTGCATATTAATGACCACTCCACTACAATAAGTCCTTAACTTGTGATTACTGCAGGTGTGGAGAGGGTTAGAAACAGTCATGTGACACACGCGGACACACAAAAGGGTGACTAGAGAGAAGATTTAACATGTTGACCTACCTGCCATCATCTTCTGGGCTTCGTATGGCTCCATGTAACCATCGTTCTCAGTTGTCACTTTTTCTGTGGTGGTCTGAGTGCCGCCAGCCTGCTCAGCATCAAAAGGGTCCGCGTAGTCTTCAAGAATAATGAGCTGTAGGAGATTTTTTAAAAAAAGAAAAGAAATAAGGTCAGGTTGAAGGAGAGAAAAAGTTTGAAAGAGCAACTGGGGAACACTGCTGAACACTCAACATGAGTATGGTGCTTTGTGACAGACACCACTTTGGCCCCAGACAGTACCAAGCAATATCCACTGGGGCAAGCCAGAGAATAAAGGGTGAAATACATAAATAATGCCCCACCTCTGCATGCCCCAGCACACCGCCACAATGCCTCAGCTTTTAGCCTTACAGCACACTCTGCTACTGCTGGTTTGCCTAATTATATGATAGCCTTGTGACAGGCCTACATTTCAAAAGTAGAGGAAAGAAGACCACAACTGCTCAACTTTCTTAAGAGAAACAATTTGGCAGATTTATCCCGAGCTGGCAGTGAGCCACGGCTAATTGCAGTCTTGCTTTTTTGCTGAGCATTTTGTGCAGTGGATGGCAATTAGGTGGATGTCCTGAGACCCAGAAATACAGCTCAAACCTTTAGGGAGCAAAGCTAGCCCACTTGTACAGTGCCTTGGGGGGATATTGCTTTCCTTGAAATGTTTGCTTCATTTATGAGCACACCACTTCAAAACTGTGGACCTTGAATTTGAAAGGATATAAACTCCCATTTGAACCATCTGTCCTCTTGAGCACTGGCTCTAATAAGGGTGTGTGACTGAGGTCATTTGGACCAGTGGCTAGAAAACGCACTTTTTCTCTGGAGCCTCTGTCTGCTCCTACCAATCAGTGGTTACAAGAGAAGAGAAGGGCAGGGCAGTGCGTGTTACGTAATCTGAAAACATGTTAGTAAAAGAGCCTTTTTTTTTCTTTTTTTCTTTTTTTCTTTTTTAAAAGGTCAGTGCACAAACAAGAAAACACCTAAATGACTGTGTGAATATGTACGACTGGCACTACACCCAATGAGTCATGTGTAACAGGAAGGGATTTGGTCTCATTATAAACAAGCTCATCACTCATCTGGTGGATGGGAGTGGGAGGGGCAGAGTGGAGGTGGACTGAGGCTCATGCTCGCCATGCTGTGCCTCCACCGAGCCAGCGTTCTTTTGAGAGAAACCTCTGTCCATTTTTGCCGCAGAGAAAGCATACTCCCCGAAAGCCAACTCCATATCCAGGCCACCCATGAGAGTGCCACAGACACACACACACACACACACACACACACACACACACACACCTGCCAACCCTCAGGGAAGAAAATGCACAGATACACCCTCAAAATTCGTGCCAGAAACGCAGGAATTTTAACATCATCGATCAAGGTTAAGTATCATTTAATGCAGTCACACATTTAAAAAAAAAGAAGAAAAAGACATCTTGAAAAGTTTCCAAGTATTAAATGCAAGTTCACTGTCTAGGGATAATTTGTAAGCTGCTTAGTGACAGGGAAACGCTGGCAGGTATATTCCTGCTCAGATCATCCTCACTATATGTGGATTAGGCTATAATAGCATAGAAAGTAAAGCACCGCGGATGTGTTCATAGCAGCTACTCTGAGTTAAATCTGCTTTCTTCAGTATTCACTCTCCATCTGTTTGGGGAAAATAACTAGGACTTTTCTTCTGCCACAACATAATTATGGGTTCCTTGAATGTTTTGCTGCTGTGAATTCAAACAGCGGGAAAAATCCAATACAAACATCGTCCTGGTTTGTTTTTGCGCTGCAAAAGATATACATATTTACAGAAAAGCGAGATTAAAATTCAGGCAGTCTGATAAGTGACATCTTTGCAGCCCAAGAGACCCTAAAATTATGCATCAGATCCAGTATCATTACCATCTTGCACCTTCTTGCTTGAAAACAGCCATCGGTAATCATATTATGTGGCAAATCCACTTCAGACACAGAAACTGCAAACACAGCCAAAATCTAAGAATAAGTAACCCTCATTAATAAAAACTGGATTCTCCTTAATGGCAAACAAGTCCAGTAGATATCTTACTGTGGTTTACTTATTGCAGCAGAGTGACTCTTAAAGTGACTTTAAAAGGTGTATCATTCATTTACATAACTGCTTTCCTCCAGATGAATTCACTTTAACACAATACAACTGCACAGCAATGTACGAGTACAAGCTAGAGCTCCCATGTTCACATAGCAAAAACTATACTATAATGTATGTTTACTCCTAGCAGTGTGTTAGCAGAGCTCCCTGCTTGAACTCAATCACCTTACCACTTAATGCACCTTCATCATGGGCCAAAGGATGTTTGAGCAAATTTCAGGAAATAATGGCAATCACTCGAGTAATGCGTGGAACCACACCAAATGCATGACATCATACTTTGCCTTTCCTGTTGACATAATGTAGGACAAATAAAGGCTGGGCACAAAACTTCTGAAAGAGAGAGGATGGATGCAATCGTGGATAGAAACCAAAGCCATTATTTGAGATTCAAACGCCATCCTTTGTTTTGCCAGAAGCTTGAATTTAATATTAATCAGTCTTGCAGTCTACCAGTGCTTAATGTTCAAGGCTTCAAAATGTTAGCTGTTTAACAAAGATAGTAGCATAGCACGGGTAGGCAGAGAAAGCAAAACACTTCACTCAAACGCAAGCATCATTTTACCTTCCTAAACTACAAACATAAAACAGCTATGTGCAATCAGTGATAAGTGGGTCTTGAATTCTTCTTCTCTGCTTATCTGCAGGAGCTTTCAGTATTTCAAAAACCCTTTAAATAATTTAAAACATTCTGTTTTGGAGCTACAATCAAGAAATCTGTTGGACGGATTAAAGGGATGCATCCACACTTGTGATTAACAGTACTATTAATCATGATCTCTCATTCCTGCTCATAAGTGCTTGTCATAATGATTTGCATGGTAAAGTGCATGTATATATGAGGCTCATAGCTGGGAAGTAAAAGGTTTTTCGGCATGTTGCTTGTGTTTGTATTTCAGTTAGAACCGAATGTGAACTCATCTTTTTTTAATTCAAAACCAAACTTAAGTATCAGACCAACTAGTTTTCAGTCTCCCCACCAATATCAAATGAAACTATGTAGTACTGATATATCATTATTATTATTTTGGTCTTTAGACCAGTAATGTGTACACATATGGTATTTTATTGTCATCCATAAGCTGGTAAGAACATTATGAATTTCATCCCACGCAGGTCATTGTTTTGCACTTGGAGATCTCTAAACTACTCACAGTCAGATAAAGTCTATTTGGTGCCATCATACAAGCCCTGCAGTCCAATTCAAGATAGGACAGAGGAGGTGGTTAATATATCCAAATTGTTCCAATGTGTTCTTCTTGTCCCACTGCACTAATGACTACTTGTCAGTAGGAGGAACAAGGGGCTTTGAGGAGAGGGGTGCTAGAGAGCAGCGGCGTCGCCTGGGGACACACCATCTGCCTTACGGCATGCCAGGGTGTGTCAAGACTGCAGCCAAGCCACACTTGTCATGAAAGTAAAATTCCCCCCTAAGCACAAGACTGCAGTGCCTCCATATATCAGGTCTTTGCTAAGCTGTGATGTAAGTCTATATAAATCTCACAAAGCCACCTGACGGGCTTAGGCCATGTCCCTGTGGTATCTAGGTCCTTTACTGGTCTGCAGCATAGAGAGAGAACTCACTCAATTACTTTCATTCCACAGTTCAGATTTCGGCTGGCCACGTCTTATACCTGCCAGAGCTCTGGCAGGTATAAGACGTGGCCAAGGAGATAGCAACAGACTTCTTGAACTACACTGCGGCTCTCAGGCGATGAAGCCGACTTCAAATCAGTGGGAACAGAGGGAGAACATTAGCAATGGAGGGAGGCTATAATAGGCACCTGCCACTTTGGCTCAATGTCCGTGATGCTAGAGCTTCTAGGATTACACTTTGATTTTACCCTGGTCTTCCATTAGAAGTGAGAAAACGCAGGCTGCGATCCTCCAGCAGTGTTAATGCATAATGTGTTTAGTCGGCTCATCAGATAATCAAGAACAAAAGAATCCAAATGAAAAAAATTAAAATCCACAAACTGCATTAGATGAAATTTGAGCACAAATGGTTTAAGGGCGACACAATAGATCGCTGAATACTGAGCAAGCTACATGTCCACTGTTGGCATTTTACAACCCTAATCCATCAGCAAATGGATGGTTTTTTCAGGAAACAGAAGAAAAAAAAAAAAAAGACTTTAACCATAAAAAAAAAAAAGAGGAAAATTGGGATTAACACCACTCCTGTTAAATAAACGCAAGCAGAGTGATGATATTAATGTCATATACACATGAAGAATAGAATGCATCAGAGGCTAGTCAGGGTTCAAGCCCTATGACTACCACAAAAGTCAGCAGGCTGCAGAAAGAGGGAGAAGGGAGAAAGAAAAGAAAAACGAAAGAGGACTGACGTGTGTGATTTATGTCTCGCGCCACAAGGGATTTCAGCCACCGATAACCTAATACAAGTCTGTGCTTAGTGGGTCAATTGCATTAAGGCATTTCAAAAGGCTTCTTTGTTCTTGTTGCTCTTTTGTTCTTCGGTGTAACAAAAAAAAAGGAAAACATGCCACTATTTAAAGAACAGTCAAGTTAAAGAATATAGGAGGGGAGGGGAGAAAAGACAAAAGCTGAGGAGACACTATTGGAGACTGACTTGTATAAAGAATGCTTTCTCCTGTGGGGTGGAAAAAAATGTTCATGTAAATCCAAACTCAGCAAGCTGTACCTCATTGAAATGCCTCTGCTGATAGCTCTCCCACCTTATCGTTGTCTATAAACACAGGATGAATCCTGTGTGTGCAGTCATCCTAAGATAACGTGGCTACATTTCCCCCCCCCAAGAACATACCAGTGAGAAACACTCCCTCAAGGCAATTTATTTAAGCAAAAGCGATCACAGGCTCTCTGTTGACATAACACAGTTACCATCAATAAGATACTTTTATGTTTCTAAGAAGCAAGCACAAATCTGGTTACATTTCATTGAAAGCCCCTTGTGCAGTCCTGAGCTTTGCTGGGTTCTGCATCTCCCAAAT